CTCAGGCGCTCTGGCTCGCCCGACTGCTTGGTGATCTCCTCGGCAGAGACGCTAGAGCGGTGGAGCTCAGGGTGGACAGCAAGTCCGCTCTGGCCCTGGCAAAGAACCCCGTTTTCCATGAACGGAGTAAGCACATCCGGGTGAGGTACCACTTCATCCGAGGCTGTTTGGACGACGGGAGCATCAAGGCGAGCTACATCAACACCAAGGACCAGCTTGCGGACCTGCTCACCAAGCCCCTTGGGAAGATCAAGTTTCTTAAGCTCTGCTCGAGGACCGGGATGGTTCAACTCTCCCACAAGACGACGCACAAGACTTAGGGGGAGAATGATGGATAAGTCTTTGTGGGGCTGGTGTTTGTGGGGCTGCTGCATGGTGGTTATCAAGGACAGCATCCTTGACTGAAGGACAGCATCTAGGACAGCATACATGACTAGCATCTTAGACTCTAGGACAACATCTTAGGACAACATCTTAGAGGATAGCATATTAGCATCTTAGACTAGCATCTTGGCATATGCTTGGCTGGCTAGCAGCCTATAAATATGTATCCCTAACCCCTCAGGTTGGCATGGCATTTGTGTGAGTTTGTGTGAGAAATAAACCAGAAAATTGCCCCAACTCCTAGTGTCATCCTCTCTCGATGAGAGTAAGAATTCTGCTTCTACCGAGAGTGAGAGTTCAACAACTAACAGGATGTCTATTGCTTTGCAGGTTCTTCCGATGAAATTGATTGATTTTCTTGATGCCCCTGTACCTTTCATTGTAAGCTTGTTTGGCTCTCATTTATTTGGTTGCTATTATTGAGTTAATTTACAGTGACCATAGTTGCTAAATGTTAGCAATTTGAATTTATTATTAACTCTCAGTAATAGCTGAAGTGTAAACAGTAATCCAATTTCTTTTAGGCTGGTGTACAACATAAACCCCCTGATATCAAGATGAAAGGATCTAGTCTTGTCAGGGTCAATGTCCAGAAAGATCAGGCAAGTATACATTTACATGCTATTTCCTCATAGTGAAAAAAACATCTTGTGAAGGAAAAGGAATATCTAAACCTTTTTTTGGTAAAACCATAATCCTTATCTTTTTGGTCAAAGTTTTTTTTATTGTGCCCCCCCAAAAAAAAAAAAGTGAATGTGATCAGGAGTTGTAGAGACACATTTTACCCATTACCCACTAATGCTCTTTTACGTCAGCTAATCTTGAATCTATTGCACCTTGCTAGACGATAGCTTCCTTGTGATATTTATTGGGACATCATTTATGAGGAAATACAATCATGCACTATGGTGCAAGCTAAATGTTAGTCTTGTATAAAAAATACGCAGGTCAAGGCATGTTCATTGCCTCAACTTCCACGTTACAAGGAGCTGTTTTCTAATCTCGGTCCACTTCATGCCAGACTATTGTGTGAGAATTCTTTGGCTAAGAGACATCCTATCTATAAATGCAATGAAGTTCAGGTACTAATTTTTTACCACTCTGTAGATTCATCATTTTACTTTCTAGTTTCTACCATTCATTTTTTCTCTAGAAGAAAATTATCTCTGCACTTGATCATTTAAACTTCTATTGATTATCCAATTTAGTTTTTGAATGATAAACATTGCATATGGATATTATTGCAGGCTGACGTAGCTTGGAAGTTCTTAAATGTAATGAGAACCTACTTGGAATCACTTTGCTCTGACTTGCTCTTTCATACCATTACAAATGTACAGTCAAACAATGACAGGGTTAGCAATACGAACATTGTTCTCTACACTTAATAATTATGTTGTTTGTTAGTTCTCTTAAACAGCATAAAATCCATTGAGTAATGTTGGCCCTGAATGACCAGGTTTCTTTGCTTCTGAAGGACAGTTTCATTGATTGGTTCCCCTCAAATGATCGACCATTTATAAAGGTACTTATCTTATTGTTTTACACAGCAGATTCTGTGTTTATTTTCTGTAAGAAAATCACATATAGTTGGTGGAACTAGCAGACTTCAGGCCTTTCTGTGATGCTGTCACGCTATGCATGCTTCCAATGGAATCAGCTTTCTTTCTTCCTTTCTTGTCGCTGCTGTGTTCTTTCCATTTTGCCTGCATTCTCATTATTCTTAACATGGTGCAGCTCTTTGTGGAGACGCAGATGTTCTCTGTTCTATCAGATTCTCGACCGTACAGTTTCGAAAATGAACGGACATAAAGGCATTGTTCCGGCTGGAGATCAAACACAGTGATACTCCCTGCTTTGGTTTTGGTGTCTGCTTCCTGGTGCTACCTTTACATGTCATTTACAATACGCAGGCAATCGGGAAGATAAAAAACGAGGCACGTTGCGTGGAGTGCGGAGGATGTGTTGATTTTGCCAAAGTCACAGCACTAATTAGAAGTGTCCTGAAAAGTATCCTGGCTCGTCTGCATTGTAAGAAAAATACTATGGACTGCCAGGTTATAGGAAATAGACGCAACCCGGTCTTCTAAGTGGGATGAGGTACATATGGCGCAGAAGGAAAAGAAATGATTTTGAATATAGTTGGGTTTCTGCTTCATATCTTGTCTTGCTATGTAACACTAGTGTGTAGTGACTTGGTGATTGCATATAGTGAAAAGAACCATGTATATAGGGTGAGGTTATTCATTGTAGTTACGCTTCCCCGATTTGATCATGTAAATCATGGTCTGGTGCACAAGAAACGGGCATCAGTTTTGATAGGGGACGTTTTGCAATTTAGTGTCAGTTACTTTTAAAGCCATTGAATGTAAGAACTTCGACATATGTTCGACGAGATCTCATGTTTCGACTGGACCTCCCCATCATCACTATTCACAGCAACTAGTGTTTTGCAGCCCTATTTGTGTAAATGGATTCTTGGTCGAATAGATGATCTAAATTCCCAAGTAATGACATCATCAATATAACGAAACACATCGCTAGCTCCACACGTAACAGTCGGAATAAAAACATGTTATAGATTGCAACATTCTAACAGAACCATGGCCAGCTGCGAGGCCGTTGTGTCGCATGATGTCTCGGCTCTGCCGTAACAATGCTTGTTGTTTCGGTTCAACACACTTCGTTCCGTTCTCAGAAAGGACTGAAAGGAGAGGCGATGGCTAGCTCAGCAAGCAAGGGCAGATGAAGCAATGCCATCTAGTACAACGGTCTCTACCCTCCTACCCAACCTTTGGATCATCATTGGGCCGCTACAGCCAGGTGATCATTGGAAATGACGATCGAAGTGCATGATATCATGGGCTTTCACATGTTCTGGTTTCAAAATCCAAAACACACACACACACACCAAAATGCAACCCCAGAGTAGTATTTATCGGTGTGAAAAGTGACCAACAAATAAATATTTGTAGTTTTACCGTGCGTTGTGATCGGATGTAACCTAGCATTCAATGTCACAGGATTTATACTGGTTCAGACAACGTGCCCTACGTCCAGTTCCAGTCGGTCGGTGACTTTATTCATGAGCCCAGGTGCTCGAAGTTTGTTGTGGGGTTACAAACGAGTGAGAATAAGAAGGGGATGTTAAAGGTCCGGTTAGGCTCTGAACCGAAGGGCCAAGAGTGACGGGAGCTCCAACATGAGCTAAGTATTAGAACGTATGCTCTGCGTAGCTTTAGAGTTCTAGAGCTGTGGAGCTGTTCGAGTGCTCAGAATGTCTAAAGTTTAGCAGAGAGAGTCGGAATGACCGTCCCCGGTTGGGAGAGAGCGCATCCCATTTTATATGTGAAGGGGATAGCCTTACAAGTGAGAGAGAGAGAGTGTGAGTGTGTGCTACCTAGTCTTGTTGCCCACGCCATCGGGTACAAGACAGTTGTCGGTGTCCACGATACTGTTGACGCCTAGATACATGTGGCAGGCTCCATCGTGTTTGTTTGGTATGGCAAATGTCGGTGCCTACCATACTACTGTAGGACAAATATCGACGCCCACAACACTGTTTGTGTTCTGACATGTCCGAAGGTTGCATAGCACCCTTCTACATGGCCTGGCGGTACTGTCCTGCAGGTGTGCAAGGTACGGTCCTCGGTATTGCAGTTGACTTAAGCGTCTTGCCTTATCTGCTCCGCCTAATTCTTGGGTCCTCATCGAGCGGGCATCCCCGGTCGGTCGTTCCCAGTCGGCTTCGACCATGTTGGTCGGAGAAAAGCTGTAAGCATAGGTTCGGCATATTCCTGGTCAGAAAAGCGGATCGGAGTCGGAAGCGAGCGTCGTTCCCTTCTTGGCCAGGCATTCCGGTCGGAGACTGGATCGCTCTTCCGACCTGTCGTTAGGTATCTAGGCCAGCCCAGGAATCGTACGTTGTTATAATACCGTCTGCTGGATCGAGTTTTTGCTGGGAAGCGGACCCATCAGAGACCTAGGTTTATGAACCCGACAGTACTAATTTCAAACTATCCCAATTTTTTGACCAAATTTATATAAACAACTACAAATATTTGTTATGCCAAATAAGTATCAATAGATTCATCATGAAATATATTTTTTATAATATATAACTATTTAGAGCCACAGGTGTTGATATTCTTTGATTAAGTGCATTTTTTTTGGACCGGGAATAGCAGAGAACACGTTGGCATCCAACGCCCAGGTCATGCGTTTGGCGCTGTTGCCCCATTCGGCAACCGAGTTTTGTAACAAGAAGAAAGGAGAGAGCATCTCCTTCCCGTCAAGGCCTGAAATAAACCTCCAAATGCACGCAAGAAATCGACCACATGTCAACGTGAGACATGCGTCAATGCTTGCCAGTCTGCCACGAATCTCCTCCAAGCTCCAATGCAAGTACGTACCGTACGTACGCTATGAACACATCCCGCTTCCAAATATCTGCATGCTGCACTGCACATCACCTTCACAGCTAGCTGCACTTGCCTATAAAATAATCGGCAGATGCCAGTGTGCTAAACCAAGCTTAGTGAACTCGTCGTGTCAGCGCGTCACACTTTTCGCTACCCAGCTAGCTCGTGTCCAGAGCAAAGCTGCAGTCGGCAATAATGGATCGCCGCGTGAGCCTTGCCACCCGGAGCGTGCGCGTGCTGATCCCCGACCAGCTGCCGACGCTGTTCGAGCCGCAGAAGTCGGTGATGACCCCGCATGTCCGCGCAAGCGTCGTTGGCGACGAAGACGATGCGGCGCCGCCGGAGCGCCGGCTGACCATGCTGGCGCTCCAGCTCGCGGTGCTCGAGAAGGCGGCCAGCCGGCTCGGCACGATGGGCTTCATCTGGGCCACGGTCGTGCTGCTCGGAGGCTTCGCCATCACGCTGGGCCAGACCGACTTCTGGTGCATCACCACCCTGCTGCTGGTGGAGGGCGCCCGGATCCTGGGCCGCAGCCACGAGCTGGAGTGGCAGCACGAGACCACGGGCCGCGCGCCCGTGTCGTGGGCCGTCGGCCGCGTCTTCCACTGGCTGCAGCTGCTGTCCGCGTCCTCCTGCGCCGCGCTCTCCCTCGTCCGCCTCGTCCACCAGCGCTACGGCGGCAGCGAGGAGGCCCGCGTCAACCGCCACTCCGCGCTCGACATATTCTACGGCCTCGCGCTCGCCGAGGCCCTGCTGTTCCTCGTCGAGAAGGCGCTGTGGGAGTGGAGGGTGGGCCACCACCGCCTGCTCGAGCGCGTCGCCAAGGACTGCCACCTCGCCACCGCCTGCGGCGCCGTCGCCGTCCGCCGCTTCTTCTACGACTCCTACTCCCGGTGCCTTAACGGCAGCATCTTCGACGGCCTGCACATGGACCTCGTGTCCTACGCCGATGACCTGCTCACGGCGGGCTCGCACGACGAGCAGCGCCTCGGCGCCAGCATCCTCGCGGCGCTCGTCGAGTCCGACCGCTTCGCCGACGCCACGCTCCGCAAGATCGGCACGTCCGGGCCCGCCATCGAGCGCCTTATCGAGATGCTCAGCTGGAAGAACGCCTCGGAGAAGGACGTACGCCGCTCTGCGGCGGTCGTCGTGTTCATGCTCACTGGAAGGAAGGTCAACGCGCTCCGCGTCACCGGCATTCCCGGCGCCATGGAGTCCGTGGCTTCCTTGCTCTACGCCGACCTCGGCGAGCTCAACCTCCTCGGGCTGTCCATCCTCAACAAGCTGGCGCGCGACCACGACAACTGCGACAAGATCGGGAAGACTAGGGGCCTTCTCGACAGGATCATCTCCTACTCGGGCATAGCAGCAAACGGGCCGGCGACGGGGCCGCCGACAGACATGCGCCTCAAGGCGGTGAAGCAGTCGCTCCGCGTTGTGAAGAGGCTGGCGAGCACGACGGGGACCACCGGAAAGGTGCTCCGGAGGGAGCTCTCTGACATTGTGTTCACCGTGAGCAACGTCAGGGAGGTGCTGCAGCAGCAGCACGACGAGAAGGACGTGTCCGAGCTGCACCGCCTGGCGATCGAGATACTGACGAACCTCGCCATGGACGAGGAGGCGAGGGAGATGATCGGCGGCACGGGGGGTGTGCTCAGCACGCTGGTGGCGATGTTCTTGCCGGAAAAGCAGGAGGCAGCGCCCGACCGGCACAAGGACGCTGTCCGGGTGGAGGCCGGCGAGGCTCTGGCGATGCTGGCGCTCGACAGCCGCAGGAACTGCGGCGCGATCATCATGGCGTTCGGCGGAGGTATGGAGCGGCTGGTCGAGGCGCTGAGTGATCCCGTCGTCGTCATCAGCGCCGCAAGGATCCTGCGCAACCTGTGCACCTACGCTGGGGACGAGTGGCAGCTTACACTGAGAGGAGTCACCGCCGGCGTCACCAAGGTAGTTTCTGGCAGTACACTCTGTGCACAGTGCATCGGCTATGGCGTGATTGGTCATCAACCATTTCCTAATCTTTTCTTTCTTCGTTCTGAAACACAGGTGCTGCGCAGTATCATGGTGGAGAAGACGAAGCTCCTCAACATCTCCCTCGGCCTCGCGGCGCAGATGCTCCGGTTCATGCAGCCTGGGGAGCTCCGGGCGAGCCTCGCCACGGCGGGCATCACGGACACGGCGCTGGCGCGGACGCTAGTGCTGGTCCTGCGGGAGTACAGCCGCCCGTCCCTGGAGGTGCCGCGCATCCGGCTGTACACGCTGGAGCTCGCCATCGCGTTGATGCGGTCGGACGCGCGCTTCGTGTCGCTCTTCGTGGAGCTCGGGATGGAGGCCGAGCAGAGGCGCGTCGCGGAAACCACCTCCGGCCTCGAGTGCTTCAACGTGTTCTCGGGCAGCGTCGGGCTCAGCCGCCGCGCCGTCAGCGTCGGCTCGCTCGTCGACTCCGCCATGGAGCTCATGAGCCAGCAGCAGGCCTGCACATCACGGTCACAGATACGCTGAAAAGTGATTTACACGGCTGAAACAGTTAATTATTTTTACTCTGTATTCAGTTTGATTGTGCGGTATTTGCATGGTAGTACTTCTGTATGCTTATGCTTTCTTGTATCACTGTATTCATTATTGTGTGAAAGTGCAATAAAGAGTTATCATGGCTATACTTATTTTGCCTTAAAATAATTACACATTTCACTTCTAAAAAAATCAAACTTTTTTACGTCTAACTATATATATATACTACAAAATAATATCAACAACAACAAGGGACATACACAAGATTTAACCTGTCGTCGACATCCAGCCTGTTCGGAAGGCCGTAAACGATCGTGGATTATTTACTGCTGGCTAGGTTTGGTGTGAGAGAAAAACACTATTTTCGGCTAGAAATTTACGATCGTTTACGAGCAAGTGAACATGCTGATCTTTGTTGATGAGTCAGTCACAAAGGTTAAGTCTCTTTCAACTCTATTCTCTTCTCGAGTGAATCACAAAGTCAAGCTTAAGAATCTTCACTAGTATCTTGGGGGGCAATACAAATCTACCGGTGGTCATCACAACATTTGGAAGCTCTAGAACAACGGTTAGCCAGAAGAAACGAGATTGTTTGATTTCTGGAAAAAAAAATGAGGTTTATATTTATGATGGGGTAGTAGTAAGCTCGCACGAAACTCTCTGCATCTGACTCTCTGGTCCCCTTTCTTTATGATATCCAGCTAGTGTTTTCTTTTTTGTCGCTATCGGTTTATAGCAGTTTGTCCGTTGTGCTCCAAATTATTTTCTTTCTAAAAATAACGGAAATAAATTGGGTGGGTAAGGGACGCACGGACGCATAGTGCGCTTCCATGGATGCCACATGGAGCCCGACGACATCGTACGCGCCGCATCTAGAGTTGGAGCGTGGTCCTTGCGCCGGTTTGCAGATCCATCGGGGAGGAGAGAGAGGACCGCAGCTCCAACTCCAGATGTTGCGCGTGCGATGTCGTCGAACTCCACGTGGCGTCCATCGGGGAGGGCAGCGCACCTAAGCATCGATGCGCCCCTTGCCCATCCAATTTATTTCCAAAATAACATGCACTCGATTAAATTTTTTATTTGCCTTTTTACTGAATCGTCATATTTGCATTGATGACTGCTTGCTCTCATGATCAATCTATTCATCAAACATCTATCTTTATTATAATTTGGAGCTATAAATTTTGACATGCACTATGCATTGAAACTCTCTTAGTTCACCATTTGCGGTGTGTAACTTTTTTTTTTCAGTGTGTAACTGATAGACATAGAAGCGTTACAACCAGAATTTTAGATTTCTAATAGTGATGTGGGCTTCTCCTAGGGTTTTGGCATTCAAAATTTAGTACAAACTTTCCCTACTAAATGTCTCCTAGTGAGATTACCTTGTGCTATGACTAGTGGTGGTGTTTTATTACTGCTTAAAACATTAGGAGAATTCCATCATTTTGGTAGTGCGTTATTGTAACACTAAATCATTTATTAAAACACGTCATGAGCATCGTACTTATGGGGTAATGCATGTGATAAAACGAATAGGTGAAGTATTTCAACTAAAACGATCAATAAGAATGCAAAACGAAAAGTTACTCCACGATTCGTACAATTATCAAGTATGGTTGTAAAGCAATTTTTATTGAGTAAAATTACTATAGAATTTATATATGGGGCTTAAATAAAGTTTGGAGTGTGAACTTTGTAAAAGATGATGAAATACTTGCTGTTGAAAAATAACATTACTAGCTAATATTTCTAATAGCTTAGAAATGCGATTTGAAATAGAGTTCAACTCAAAACTTAGAAAAAATTTCAAGTCAGTTGACAGTCAGACATTGCTATGTTTAACAAACTATTTTGAGAAATTCGGTTAAAGAGTGATGTAGTGTTATAGCTTGATTAACTAGCCTCATATACCATCTTGAGTGTAGTGAAGACCGTTTATGTTTAGGAGTAACGGTTTGGTCGCGGTACAAGCTTTAAAATCCGTGCACAACACGTTTCCGGTTTGCTTCCCCCGCATGGGCGCGATCACCGTGTGTCAGTGGTTGACGTCGCCGTGTCGGTGCGCCTCGCGCGTGCCCGCGTGTTGCCACGCTGGACTAGCCGTGTGCCGTGGGAATAGTCATGGGCGCTGCCGTGCGGCCGTGCCGCGCTGGCGCCTGCCCTGCGTGTTGCCGTGCTGCCAAGTCTGCCGTGCCTCGCGACGCGCCTACTGCCGCTGTCGTCACCCCTGCGCTCGTGTCTACGCCACAATGCTCTGCGCCCTGGCCCGGTTTGATTCCGTGCACGTGGTTGCACCCGCCGTCGTCACGCCATTAATGGCGCTACGACGTGCGGGCCAGGCCGGCATGAACACGCGCGTGCTCGTTCACTAGTGGCTAGATTGGGTCACTGCGGTTACATCAACCGCGTCCCACTAAGGCGTGTCACAGCAGATGCCTGGCCGCATTCCACCGTCCTCGCTCTGTCTCCCATCTCTCTACCTCCGACGTCTCCTTACGCCCACGAGTACGTCAGAGATAGGTCACCTCTATTCAATTCGGCTCGTCCACACCTCTGCCCTCACGTCTCCTCGTCGCCCGACCCCGCACCGCCTTAATGACGGCCTGGCCAGGCGCCAATTTGGCGTCTTCCCGCCGGTGCGCCGTTAAGGCCGCACTGCGACCATGACCGAGGGCAGACCTCCCATCCCTCCACCCGAACCTAATTGCCCACACCAGTAGGTGTGCCTTGCCTTCCTCTTCATCATGCGTGCCTTGGCTTAGTCGCTGCCAGCTCCACCCCACCGTTGACGCGACCGTGCCGCCGTGGTTCATCGTCGCATGGCTCGGCTGCACGTGGCTAGCTCCTCTCCGCCACTCTCTTCGCCAACGGTCATCGCAGCTGGGCTCATGGTAGCCTGTTAATGCTCACTCGCTAGCTAGATAGGTTTGTTGATGCTTGAGTTTGTCGGGGCATTCGCGCCACCGACGCGGACGGCCGCGTATCATCGTGGCCGGCTCCAGCGTGTCCCGCCGCCCCGCGCTGCCGCTAGGTGTAGCTGGTTGAACCGGGGATGGAGGCCGGTCCGACCGTCGGGCCAGTGGCGGTCCCAAGTGGTCGGCATAGCCGTGCTAGGCCACCGCTCGCCGCACCGCCGTGCACTGATCCGCCGCGTGCGCGTGGTAAATTAGAGAAAGGCCGGAGGGTTAAGTGAGAGGGTCTGTGAGTAAGTAAAATAGTGTTGGTCCTTGGTTTCGAATTGGGGGAAATGCAAGGTCTCTTTTGCAAAAAAAATGCTGACGCGCACGGGACTCTCCCACCGCAGGCCACCTCGTGCGTGGGCCTGCTTCGCGTGGGCCGCTCGTGTGGGCCGCGCGAGAATTGATTTTCCTTTTTCCCGCAAATTAGCAAATGTTTTTCGAATTTAGTTTTGAGCTGATCTTTGGAAAATTATAACAAATTCTGTAGATGTCCAAAAATTATGTAACCAATTTTGTTGGGTTCCTAAAATTGTGCTCTATCTGTTAGTGTAGTTAGTTCATATACATATCTATTGATACCAGTGGCTATTGAATCATTTGAGAGTGCTTAATATGATTAAGTTAAATAATTGTAAGAATTTTTGTGGTAGAATGGTGATAGCTTCAGCTTTAAAATTTTTACATTAGCTTCATTGTATTATTATGTGCTCACTGTAATTTTTGTAGCTATAGAATAGACTTAACATAAGGGTAGTTAAATGCTCTTTGTTTCAAATATACATTAAATCATTAGTAGAAATAAAGATATATTCTTCATTTGTAAAGCTAGGTGTTTGTTAGTTGAACCCAACACTTTACTTGATGAAGATGATAGTTAGCTTAGTATCCTAGTCACTAGAGCTAGCTTAGTAGTTTACCATGTGTATTCTTATTTTAATAGTTGTTGTTGCCTTAATGCTAAGTGTTGCATCATCATCGCATGCATGTAGAGAACGAGTTGGCGGAGATCGTGACCATCAGAGATCACGAGATCGAGGAGGTAATTGAACAGTACGAGGAGGAGATTCTCGTGCAGGAGGAGGTCCCAGAGCTGCCACTGACTAACTGAGCTGACACCACGCCTGCCCAAGGCAAGCCTCGGTGCATAACCCTTATTTTGAATAATCACTAGAAATATATATATATATGATGTGCATATACGTTATAGGATTTATATAAAAACTACATGCATAGATATACCTACCTATGAGTCCTACTAGCTTAGGTCGAGTAGCTGCTATACTTAGGTTTTTCGGTATTATGAGTAACCTGCCGCTACTCACAATTGGTGATTATTATTATCACTCTCATGATAAAATGGTGAAAAGAAATGGAGACCGAGTAGGGATATGGTACGGGTATTGGTGGGTGTAAGAGGTTGTATCCCGCGGCCAATGGAGCATAGCTTGGTTACACTGTTTTCCCTATCCGTGTCGGTTAAGGACCGGCTGTTGCATTGGATTCTAGTCAGGTCACAGACTTATTATCTTGAGCACATACTTGTTTATGGGAGCAGAAAAGGCTCGTTGCTCTCTTATCATGGGTTCCGGCTCTTTTTGGACTGACTGATTAAAGGCGGGGATAGTGGAGGTCTAAGCACCACACTGAGTCCGTGACTCAGGTGTGGGGGCTTGGAGTCCAAGTTTGGACGGGGACCTGGACCCCTTGACAGGAGAGTAATGGGTTGGTCCTGCTTGTGCCTGGAGTACAAACGAGGCGTGTGTTTCGGGGTACCCAGCTGGGCACATTGATTCACGAATCGTCGAGTAATCCGGTACGACTTGTCTACAATCTAGCACCGTAGTAAGAACTGAAAGATGAAAGATGGTGAAATGGATCTGTTTGCTCAACTCTTGCTTGAAAGTAGAACATGTGCTTACATAGAATGGTTAGATAATGAACTAATCATGACTGCTAATAAGAAACATACATAAGGATTCACTACTAGTATTGCTTTCTGTCAAAAGAAAACCTAGCAAACCATAAAGC